TTATTATTATTATTATTATTATTATTATTATTATTATTATTATTATTATTATTATTATATTTTGATTATATTTTTCAGCATTACATCCCCCTCTTGACTATGTTTTCTCTTCTCTCAAGCTCTCAAACAGGTCGAAATCACCAGAGCTTACCTAGCAAAACAGGCGGATGAAATTTCGCTCCAGCAAACAGACGTCGTCCTGGTCTTGAACAGGGAAGAGGGTGAGTGGTTTTAGAAAGAGCGCCGAGCAGAGTTAGGCAGGCAAAATTCCTTATTTTTTTTTTACCCAGAATTAGGGTTTTTTTTTTTACCCGTTACGGAATTAACGGAGGTAACCGCTGAGCTGCCATTTTAAAATTCACATTTAAAAGATGATTCTGTGTATTTAAAAGGAGGACGAGCGAACCGAATGACTCTCCCCTTGTGTTTTTAATCATTTTCCCCTTTCCCTTCCGATAGCAATTACAGATCTTGCAGGTGACCAAGGTGTTTCTGAGACCTCCAATCCCCTAACTTTCCTATAAGCCTATTTTTTAATACTCTACCACCGGACCCCCTTGTGGTCTCTTCTCCAAGTCCGCCCCGCAGGGTGAGCGTAAAACAGACTCTGTGCTCCCTTAAAGGAGCGACAAAGCAATCCTGCTCCAGCAAAACTTGAAAAAGAATATTTCTTGCGGGGGTCTGAATTTTTTTTCTCATTTTTGTGAGCAATTAAGTTGCGACGAACGTGCCGCTGCTGCCGTTTTCCCCCTTTGTCTTGAACATGTCAGCTTTCCAACCAAGACAATCAATTAAAACCTAAATGATTTGCTTTGGTTCACCCAGTTACAAAGCTAACCAGAATTTGATCCTCCAGCAGAATTCGCATCCTGCTTTTTACTTACCTGGGGATCCTTCTCCGTCTCCTTCCAGGCTGGTACTTGGGGGAGCGTCTGCGTGACGGAGAGAAGGGCTGGTTCCCGCAAGCGTGCGCCCAGGAGATCACCAACCGCAATGCCGTCCAGCGCAACGTCCAGCGCATGGAACGGCTGCGCATTGAGACGGACGTGTGACGCCGAAGCGTCACCCACTTGGATGCCGAGGAATCCGAAGCTATTTCGAGGTTGCTGATCTGGACGCTGCACCACTTCAGTTCCTCCTGGAGCGAACAAGGACTCCTGTCTGGATCGTAGGAGAACCACTAGCCAACGTGCCCCTTTGCACCTTCCAGCAAAGCTGAACCGCTGCCCTTCTGGGTGGGCGCGACTCCAAAAAGAGGTCGGCAACTGGCAGCTGTCGGACAAATCCTTCCCCTTTTACAGATTATCTTTTTTTTAAAACCACGGAATAGGCTAATTTTTATGACAACTTGATGGCTGACCGTTATGTCTTCATCTGCTCCCCTGTGGCAATAATTCCTCTTAGTTAACACTTCCAATTTGGCCTTCTGCAGTCTATTCTAACTTCTGAATGGCCCCGCTATTTAATCTTGGGCATAACTCATTGACTGTTCGTTGACTCCAGACTTGTTTCCGAAATACGGCTCTGGAACTGATTCTCCTTCCAGCTTCTACACGGCAGCCTGATCCTACGAACTGCTGGGTTAGTTGCATATTATTTTCCAAAATACTCCTTGAATAAAACAAGGGGGGACCCTAGTTTTCACGAGGCACAACTCTTGAATCGGATGAAACCGAATTACCAGCTTGAGCAGTTGGGGAATACAAGATGGGACGCAGATTGCAAAACGAAAGGGTGTGTTAAGTCGGTCTTCCTTTTGAAGGGCACCCACAAAGAATATTTTGGGGTGTTTAAGACCGTGTCTGTCCACTGGCTTGAACCTTCACGGTCTGCCAGGATTCTCAGGCTGGGGGATTCTGGGAGATGGACTTCCAGAAGGCTTCAGGATTGGGGGAAGCTGATCTGTATCTTTGCAACTTCACATTCTTGCAGTCTGTTTTTACATCCTTACACTGGATGTCTTCTGTCCAAATCTTCCAATCCATCGTGTTCTTTTAAGCCTCTTTATTTAATGGGAAGGAAGCAGAAAGTGTATCTGCGGGCTTTTCCCCCCCAAAGAAGAAAAAGCGATCGGTGAAACGTGTCGGAAGCGAAGGTAAGAGTTTTGTGATGAGTCTCCGTCTCTCAAATCCAAGGGGAGCCTTGAGTGGGAATCCATTGCGAAAAGGAGCAATTTCCGGAGCTCCATGGCACCCTTAGAAAGGCATCGATAGGAAATCCAAAGAGTTAAAAATGTCACGCTATTCCGAATGCTTCCTGCTTAAAATAGTTTGGGATGGTCAGGACAGCCCATTTGAGTGTGAAATGTTTTCTCTTTCCCCTACTTGAATGCACACCTATGTGCAGAGCCACACGACTGTAAAACCAATTTGCCCACATGCGCGGATCCCAGGAAATTTAGTACTTGAGAACAGAAACACATTTCCTCTCCAGTTGCTTTCCAGTTAGCAAGTATCCCCTTCCGTGACCTGCATTTTCAATCTAAATTAAAGTTTAAAATAATAATAATAATCCCGTGATCTGCATTTTCAATCTAAATTTAAATTTAAAATATAATGATAACAACCTAGTTAGCTGATGCAAGAAGATCGCACAGACTGACTCCAAACAGCGGCATGACAAAGTCGCAACAAGGGTGCATTGGCATCTCTGCAAGAAATGCCACTTCCTGCAAGCCAGAACTGGCGCGACCGCCAAACAGACGAAGTCATAGAAAACTGAGAAGCCAAAATGCTCTGCGACTTTAGGATTCCAGCAGACAAACCCCAGACTTAACCATGGTGGATAAGAAAGTCTGGATAGTGGACACTGCAAGACCTGGAAACGGCCAATTTGAGTTTTATTTTCTTTTCACTAGCAAACCTGCCAGTCAAATTTGGGCGCAAGATGCTTTACCACCGGGGTCGCGCCAAGTTTTTTCCAACGGGTTTTAACTGCCCCAATTCAGGAAATGGAAGCGCTCTGCTAATTTTCGGTTACTTTCTTTTTCTAAAGAAAAATCTGCTCCCTTCCCTTGTCGTCAAGGGATCTCTCTCTCTCCAGATTGTACAGTTTGGGGACCCAAGAACATTTTTCGGAGAACGTAAAAATGGGCAGAAGTATCAATCAATCAATCAATCAATCAATCAATCAACTGCAATACTTACCTTGAGTTTTACTTGATTTTATTAAAAAAAAGGAACCACAAAATTCATTTAACTTCTGTTTTGAACATAAATATTACAATAATCATTCCTTTGAATACAAGACAATACACTTAGCCCTTTCTTACAACGAGCCAGGGGTTGGAGGGGGGGAATATGTCACAAACATGAGAAACGGTGTCTATGCGTTGCATACCCCAAACGTGGCTAGAAATGTGGGTTTAGCGGCCTCCCGTTTCCAAAACACAATTTCTCTATGGCCGTCCTTGAACTGAAACCCGCCGTTGGGTGTCCTTCCCTCCCAACTGTCAAAAGTCTTCCATTTCTTCCAAGTTCAGTTTGATGCCTCCCATCAAGATCCCCCCAATAAAAAAAATAACAAAATCACACCGTTGCAAGGTAACCAGAGGTCATCTAGTCCACCCCCTGCTAAATGCAGGATCTTTGAACGCCCTCCAAGTTACAGATTTCCCCATTGCTAGAGAAAGTTGATCTGTTTTAGCCTGTTCCTTTTTGGGTGTGTTTTTGGATCTCTCGGCCCTGAATTCTTGGGGAAAATATTCCCCCCCCCCCAAAATCTTTTTTCAGGAAAAACAGCAGAGCCTTATGGCATCTTCCAGCCAACTGAGAGCAGCCTAAACTTTCAAATTGCACCAAAATCTTGGGCATCTTAAAGAGCATACAAGAGCCACGTTGCTGTTTTCGGCGAAGCACATTGGCCCAAGGCTCCCTTTTTGATGTGCCAATTCATAAGCGCCTTCCGATAAATGCCAGAATCGGGCAAATCTCAAACGTCGGTATTTTATAGCGTCCTGGTAACCTTCTTTGGAGGAAAGGCGTGGCTGCCTAGTGCTTCACCGAACCTGGAAGGAGAAACGTAACAATTAGGCATTGGCCAATCCTATCCATAATCCAGCATTCATCCCGTTTGGCACGGCCATGTTTCAACTTCTTCGTACCTTCCCTGCATGTAGAAAGCTAGCATCTCAGGGAGAAAAAGCACCCCTTCACTCCCTGAGTCTCGTGAACCATAAAAGACCTTCCAGATCTGGATTTTGAAGCAGTACATGGAAGGGATTAAAAAATACATTTCTAAGTACATGGCTTTAGTGTGTAGGAAAGTGGGAGAAGATGGAAATGCATGCTAAAAAATAATTTCTACTTCTGGAAGTTGTTTCTTCGGCTGAGATAGTTATGTCACCTGCCTTTTTTTTTTTTTTTACAGTTAAATTGGTTCAAAGTTGTACAACTGTTTTAGCTATCGACCTCTTCCTCCAAATAATTAAGTTAAACTTCATCTATCTTTGTTGCATCTTACTCGTTAATTAAATTGCTGTTTTATATAAAGAAGTGGGAAATGACTCACTGTGCCCGGCTTCTTCCCTTGCGTTGGCTATCAGTTGAGGTGGGCCTCCTTAGAAAGGAATAAAAATATGAAATTTCCCCTAGGATAAAACAGTATCTTTTGCTGGGCTGATTTTTGCAGCAATAAGGATGTTTGCGCGGATGGGAGACCACAAGGCAATGCCCAAAATGCCAGCTAGATGGGGAAGTTGAAAAACACTTTCTGGAACAAAAGCAGTGGCGTGCTATTTCCTTATTTATTCTGGGTAAGCCAGCGAGAGTCTTTTTGAGAGAAATGTGTAAAATAAAGATATAAATAAATATAAAATAAATGTAAATATAATAGCTTAAATCCACCATCCAATGCATAGAAATAAGAGCCCTGCTGTGTTATACCCCACTACATCATAAGTGGAGAGTCTTCCATTTCATGCCCCAGGAAAAGTTTTATTACATCTGGGCTCCCTGCACCAAGAAAGCTAGCTTGTCAGGGAAGAGGATTTTACTTATGTCTTGCCAGCTCTCGCAACTAGCCACCTGTCAGTCCAACATACCTTCTCGACATGTCATTCCTATGTATCCGTGAAGACACGCACACCGTCCATTCTGGGCATTGCAGAAGGCGTTAGCCGAGGAACATTCGCAGGTTTGAGAACAGTCCGGGCCAAATTTTCTGAGCTGGCAGTCTGGATTAGCAGGAGGGGTCGAAGAGAATGATTAAATTCGTATGCAAACCCAGAGTGGCTCATTTTGCTCCCTGATCTAAATGATCAACCCTCAACTCCCTCAAGCTGGGTCCTCGAAGGGCATCTAGTCCACCCCAACCTAAATTAGAAATTTTCCCTAGCGTTCAGCTGCGGCTCTCTCTCCCTCTTTCGTGTGTTCATTCCTGCGTTTGCAAAATTTCCTGAAGGCTTTGAACGGCTGGCCAACAGAAAAATCATAGGGGAAAAAACTCAATAGCAATAAATAAACCCACCGGGTTTTAAAAATGTGAAAAACCCCAACAGCATCACGAGAGATGTAAAATAATATCAAGGCAAAGTCGCGGGCCTGCCAAGTTATCCCAACCTTCAAAACAAGTCTCTTCTCAGCAAATCCGCGGGAAGATTTGGTTCGGAAATTTGCCATTTTTTCCCCAGCCTCTTGCTAAGACAGAAAGGGATCCATTTGCACGCTCACCCACGTCACACTTAGCTCCTGTTTTCCCCGGAGGGCAGAGACAGCGGCCGGTGGAGGGCTCGCACGGGGCTTTGCCTTCACAATCACACAAGCGCTGGCATTTCTGTCCGTATCGCCCTGCATCGCAGCCTGTAACCGAGAAAACACCGCCTTTTTTCCGAAGCCCATCCTCTGCCATTTTCATTTAATTTATTTGAAATATCTGCCTCCTGCTTTCGGTACAAAAGCCAGTCTAAAATTGGAAATAAAGAACCCAAAAGCCATATCCAGAAAATGAGGGGAAAAGCAGAAAAGAAAAAACCTTATTTAAGTTATTGACTTCCTTAACAGTGAGTTAAATCATAGCTAATATCGAAGTCGCAGCTTCACACACACACACGGATTTCAGCTATCCAAGTAGCATCTGAGAAATATTTTACACCCTACGAATTCTCTGACATTTGGCAAATGTCAGCGTTCCCCAACCATGAAATTGCTGGCAAATATCAGCAGTGACTAAGTTTTGGACATTAGACAAACAGGAAGCTTTTGACTTTGCTAGCAATTCAATGCGTCCCTTTCCAAATGCTTATCCATTGCCACGAGTTCGTCTCAAGGCGGCTAAAAATCACAGGCATTGCCCGCCCGGTGTGCTTAATCCATATGTTTATATCTCACCTTTCATTCAGGAGCTCAAGATGGCATTTGTAGCGCTCCTTCCTACTTTTCTGCACAACAACCCTGTGGGGTAGGCGGGCCAAGAGAGCGGGATGGGCCCAAAGTCACCCAGGGAGTTTCTAAGGCTGAACAGGACCTACAATCCAGGTCTCCCCACTCCTAATCAGGTGACTTGACTACTACTGTGCCCACGTGCCCAGTGATTTCTCCTCCCATAAAGGATAGCCAGTCAGGGAGCCAAGAGAAAACCACTCGTTCTTGGACCGAAACTTAGCCTGAAAGACCTTTAGGAAAAGCATCCAGTAAGATACCAAAGATAGATTGGAACTCACTGCCCTGTTCTGCCCATGCAGCCGTTCCAAACCGTTCACAAACCCTAATTTGTGAAATGGCGGGCATGACAATCCGCGTTTCTTTCTCCCGAAGGAATCAGCCT